CCCGAAACCTCTGACAACTTTTTTGTTTTTTTCTCAGTTATAAAAAAAAAAAAAAAAAAAAAAAAAAAAAAAGTTGTTTCTGAAACATAAAGTAAATGTCTCAGGTCTAACCACAGAGCAGAATAAATTTAATCTCATGCTAAAACATGAGTCGATTAGATCTAAACCTGGAGCCCCGCCCCCAAAAATGAAGTCTTTTACATTGACTCTAGTTGGAAAAAGTAATCAAAGAAAACACTGACGGCACGGTAAAGCAGCATGCAATTTGTTTAGCCACATGGTTAAACAGTACTGTCTTCTAGAAATAGTTTCAAGCATTTAGTCTCTAAAGTTTAACTGGAAACAAAGGGAGTGTAATTTTAAGGGGCTCTTTAAGCTTCTATCAGGTGACACCTTCTGGGCCTTTTGTAAACACAAGACTTCTGAAATTAACGGGTCATATACACCTCAAAGGCCTTACTTAAGTGCTGGCACAGCAGGCAATCTGTCAGACGAACTGGAACGGTTGACTGGGTTCTGAAATCTGCGTGGATTCAAAGAAAGGAAGGCTGCAATGCAAACCAAAACTGTCAGAGGCTGTCTAGTTTCTCTGACTCAGTTGAAGTTAGACACGTTAACAGATTACAAAAACGAACAAAGGAAAATCCTGATTTGTCACAGCTAAGATATTTTTAAACATGTGAGCATTTTGCATCGGTGTGTGTAATTGGCTGACTAGTCAGGGGGATGGGTGGGGTGAAGAGCCACGGTAATCTGCTGGATTCACACAAACCTTTCCCCACCCTGCCCATGGCTACGCCGTTAATCACCATGTCAAGGGGACTGACACAGCTAGATAGTCCAGTTGACAAGGAAAACACATTGTAAAAAAACAACAAACAAAAAAAACCTAGGAAAAGCAGAGGACAAGGGTTGTGAAAGTTAAAATTGTTTATGCTTTCTTTTCAGTTCTACACTGAAAGGTAGTGTGAGGTAAATCATTTGAAACATGGGAGGAATTAGTTTTAAGGGTATTTTAAGTGTCTATAAGCACAATTTATCATAAGCTCAATTAAAAAAAAGAATATTTTGCACAAAAATGCCACACTTGACACAAGGAATAAACTATTTGTAACCCATGTATTTATCTGTGCATATTGGATCTTGATGTGTTATTTACAGTCTCCAACTCAAAAATATTAAATAGATTATGCTTGAGAATGCTCTAAAGGCAGTCATTGTCCCTGTTCCTGGTGCAAGCTTTTTCCCCCACATTTTTTTCCCTTCCACTCAACTTTCTATGACTAGAAAATAATATGGCGTTTTATTTCACCATGTTAACATTTACTCTGAAAACTGTATTCCAGTAAAAAAAAAAAACAATGATATTTTCTAAATTATTTGCCATGTCACTGTATTAAAAGCAATGCCAGCTAATGCAATTTTCTGCATTTTTGGTATTTTGAACACCAGCAACATCTTTGCTGAAGTTTGGAGTCATGAGATTTATTTGTCAAAAGTACAAATAAATATTTTTACTTTTATAAACTATAAACTATTATATGGTTTCTATTACTACACAAGGCAGCCATGTTGGACTTTGAGGTTTGTGGTAAACCTATGATTTTACCACTTGGAATTTCCGCTTTACTGGACCTTTCTGCTAATTTCTTATTCCTGGTTTTCATAATCTCACACAACCAAAAAACAGTACAAAAGCTGAAAAAAAAATTAAGTTCACTTGTAACATTGTTCAAAGATTTCTATTCGTTTGGTGGTACTTGGAAATACAAAAATTTATTACCAGCATCAAAATGTATACCAAACCATGTGTGAAATAGATGAATTACTGTCCCAGAAACTAACTCTGACATTTTCAGAAGGTTATAATTAGTTCCACCATGTCAGCATAACTCAGAAGTGGGTCTGTGTGTACAGAGAAAGAGGAACTAGAAGCTTGAAGTGTTCAAATAAAGGTTTAAAAATGACGAAGCTGGCCCTTTAAATATAGCCCCTTAAGAAAGTACATTTGAACTAAAATGTTTAATTAAAACATTGTGCTCTCTTTATTCGCTGTGAAACACTTTAGGTTAGGTCAGTTTAGAAAGAGAGAAAAATGAAGACCAATCCAACTTCAGCCCTGTGGCCAGCAGTGTAATCCCTCCCAGGAGCAGAGTGCGCTCAGGGAGCCTGGGCTGCTAAATGCTCCGGCTTCAGAGGGACAATGGTGGAGGGCTGGTAAAGATGGCGGCTCTCTCCGAGGATGGGAGGTACGGATTAAATTGTGGCCAACAGGGCGCCGAAAGAGTATCCGTACTACACGTCAAGTTGACCGAGACGGCGCTGAGAGCGATAGAAAACTACCAAAGTAGTTCGGTGAGTTGAAGAAGACATTAATTCCTGTAAATATGGCAGCTGGCTGTCTCTAGCTGACGCCGCTTCTCCCAACTGCCACGCACAGCTAAAGCTAGGAGGTTAGCTAAACTGTTGACAGGGCGACTTTCTGCTTCTGTTTTTGATTAAATTAGTTTTGTGTCAGCCGGTTTATAGGCTGATATTAATTAGCGAAGGCCACATCTTGTGTTCTGGCCAGGTTTTAGGAACTGACACACATTAAAAAAACTATAAATCCTCTTTGTTAACTTATTGACAGTCTGAGTAGCGTTAGCTCTGCTTCAGTCAGAATCCCCCTTCGCTGGTCAACCTAGTGCTTTTTTCCTCTCCTCTCAACCGACCTAACGTGCTTACCCAATTAGGAAATGGTTTCAATATCGTACGTTATCAACATTTGAGTTTTTTTTATTCTTCTTGAACTATAAACAAGCATATTGGCAAACTTTTAACTTTAATACCGGTACATTGTAACTGTATCACCACCAATAATATGTATTAGTATATACTAAAAAACTCAAATTGAACTTAGTTTAGCTTTGCAGGCTTTTAAAACACGTCGGTGTTTGGTCAGGTTACCATATGGTTTCAACTGGCTGGAAAACCCAACATCGGAGCCTGCTAGGGATATATGCATGTTCTGCCAGAGCCACCTTTTTATAGCTCTTTAACCTATTATACAATGTGGCAATCAAATAACATTAATTGTTCCTGGAGAATGGTGTACAAGCTATTTTAATAGGTCAATGTTTTATATGTTCATCTTACAGCCCCTGTAATAGGAGACAACAGTTAATACTTGACTCCAGTCGTGTTTGCAGTTGTAGAAAATCACATATCTAATAATTGCTGCTTATTTTAATAAGTATATACAACTGACATGAGAATATTTGCTATTTCACCACAAGTAGACGGCTTACACTAGGATCTGAGTAAATGCAGCACATTATATATAACTTTTGTAATCTTTAAGTGTTGATGTAAGCATGTTGAGATTACCGCAGGTAGACTCACCTGAAGAAACCTCTGCGGACTTGAGTTGCAGATGCCTGAAGCCAATTTATCTGGCCTTAACTTCTGTCAATTTGCCAACAACTAAAGAGTTACATAATGTCAGGACTCTGGTTCTTTTCATGCTGATAAACTACAGCTTAGAGCAGGGTGTTAGTGTTCAGAAATCTTTTGTTGTGTTTTGTTTTTGAGAGATGTGACGATCAGGCTTTTCCCGGTTGTCAGATTGGTTTTTTTCTCTTTCCTTTCCAAATAATAATAAAAAATTATAATAGGAAAAGAAAACGTGGTGCAGGTGTTCAAAGTTGTAGTTTTGAATCTGCCCTAAAATGAAGAAATTAAGAATGACTCCTAGTAAAACATTAAATCATACATTCCTAAAAGAAAAAAGTATTGAAACTGCATTTTGTTGGTTGATTAATTTATAGACTAGTCAGACATTTGCCTTTACAAAAGGAAGATTATACCATGCACATACATCTGCTTTAAATACCAGCATATTAAAACACTTTAGTATTAACAAATTTCAATGTTCTCGAGCAAACAGTCGATACGGACATGGTGATGGGTCAGTTTTCATTTTGTTTTCATGTAATAGCTCAGTTTTTGCCTTTTCTCTGATGTTTGTCTGCTGACTTTTGGCAAAATCTTTTTTTTTCATGATGTCTGATGCAAAATTATTCCACATCAGCAATTAAACTCTGTAAAGCTCAATATTATTTCTTTCATTAACTTGGATTATAAACGTTAGGACGACCGAATTGTCACAAAGTCAAAAATTCTTTTGTAAGGGTCCATTGGTTGTGTTGGTGGATTCAGTCTGCTGAAGGGAAGCCTGCCATCTCTTGCTGACTGAGCAGCCCAAAACTGCCTGCTTTTTGTTTCTCTCTCTCCCAGTAACGTGTGCTGTTGTTGAACCAGTCATCGAACTATGGAAGCCGGCTATCTTTGTCGTTCTGTGGCGACGTGAAATGTGATCAGAACTGTGTGAGCGAGTGGGGGAGGGAGTCTGTGGCTTAGACTAGCTTAGCCTTCACAACTGTGACACAATTCTCTCAATCTTAAAGTATTTTATCAAAACTACGGTCCTTCCTTCACCGTGTAAGTTTAAAAGCGCGTATCACATTTACCATCGAAGGGAGGTAGCTGGATTTAAAAAAAAAACAAAAAAAAAAAAACTTCTTTCCTCTCCGGCTAGTTGATTGCAATGTTTAACGACTGTAGCCAAGTATTTTGTGTGTGTGTGCGCGTGTGTGCTAAGGCTTTGTGAAGAAACTGAGTTTTGTGCTTTCCTGTCCTAACCTATTATCTCCTGCAGCCACTGCAGATTTGTGGCTACCAGCTTTATTTAACCTAGACACTGACACACATGCATACCTGCCATACAATTTTACAGCTGTAAAACACTACAGGTTTACTTTACATTTTATTATCAAAGTGGTATATCAAGAGAACTCTTAAAACATCACCTTTCACTTCATTTATTCTGTCCTTTTTTATGTGAAAAGGAGCTTGTAGCTATTTGTGTCTGAAATGTTTCCATGTTTACTTCCTGCCTGATAAAACATTTTCCTCCTCCATAACTTTACTTTAACTTTAGGCTTGAGTTTCTGTGTTTGAAGAAATGGGTCAGGATTTCAGAAGTTAAATTTTGTTAAAATGCAATAACTAGTTAATATCTTGCCTCCAGCAGATTATTGCCCTTTCACAGCTGTTTAATCCACTTTAAATGGGCCAGAGTTCATATTATTCAGGTTGTCTGCTTAGGTTGATCAGGTGTGAAAGCTCATCATACTCTCGTTTGTCTGGAAACATGGGTGTCAGTTCAGTTGCAAATGAACCCTGGTGGGGGTTACCTGATGGACGTTTTCACACCTACAGTTGGTTTACTTTGGTCCACATCTCTTTATAAGTTTGACGGATTGCATTTGGGACCACTTCCTCCAAACGGTCAGTGTGCGGATGTACACCCATTTCTGCAATTTTTGTGTTCATCTCCACAAACAAACTGGACCAAGACTGGAAAGGAACCAGTTTGTTTTAAGCGGTGTGGACACTACCTTTATATGGCCATGTAAAACTGATTGTCCAGCGAACCAAAGAAAGGAAGTGAGATGTGATTTATAGGAATATGTTATTTGAAAACTCCTAAATCCTTGTATTTCTTGGTATAACTGCATTCATGGTACTGATGCATTTACTCCAACACTTAGATGAACCTGCTGGACAGCTCTCTGCTTTTTGTGACGGCGCCCCCGAACAAGCAACTGTTGTAACTGCATGTTGTCAAAGCGGTTGGGTCTGCTTTCTGAAGTGTAACAGGAAAGTGTAACATAAAGATAAAATTTCTCTTGAGATTGGAGTCTTTTAAAGCGGCTCTGGTATTAGACGTTTAGATTACACGTTAGCTTCAGCCTATGTAACCACCTAATCTGGAATAATACTAAATTAAGACAATATAAAGTAATGTCCTCTAGATAAAATATAAAATATTCTGAACATGTTCAATCCCTCTGGATCATCTGGATGGCTCATCATCTGTAGAACAATTACATGTGGTGGTGACTAACACCAGGGAGAGAACTAAAAATGTTGGACACTCCTGCCATGCTGCATTTTAGGTTCAGATGAATCATTTAAATACATTTTATTTTCCTGGCTGATCTCCATTTCTGGATTTCTTTTTGGTCCGACGTTCTTTTTTCTAGCACATAAGACAAAAAATGTGCAGCAGGTATTTGTGTTTTTGCTTGATGCTTTTGTATACTAAAGGTCAGTTTTGATACCCTTTCCGAATAGAAGACAAATACAAATAAAAGCAAGATTTTTCTTCATTTGACCTGCTGGTTACCAATCAGACGAAACCCAGAGAGAATCAACCTGATTTTGATTTTTCTTGAATTTTGATGGCTTAAATTTAATGTGGATTTTTTTGTTGTTGTTGATGAACTCTTAAATATATTGTTAACTTGATTACCTTCCCTCTTTGTAGGTAATTGTGAACAGATTTAACTGTGTTCTTTCCTTCCTTTTTCAGAATATACCATCTTCAAGGCCAACAGTACAATTCAAGGGACTTCAAGGGGTAATTTTTATTTTATTTACGTAGTTTGTATTAAAATAACCTCATAGTGTGAGGTTTAATGTTTCACACTTCATGCTTTAGTAAAAGTGTGTTTTTTTTTCTGCTAAAAAATTGATGTTTTCTTTAAAGAAAACATCCATTTCTATCAAACAGGGCATTATTAGACTTCAACAGAGTTATAACAATCTGCTAACTTTTCTTTGGGGACCAGTGTGTGTTGGGACAGTGAAACGTAAAACGAGCTGCACTGAGGGACACCTGGTCCTGTACTTGTGAACGCAGCGCTACTTAAATATGGATGTCTTGAACGACAATAAAAACCATTGACCTATCCCAGTGTTTTTTAGTCAATTAGCTAAAGAGATACTCATCATTAGTCTCTTTTATTGTCTGTGAAAATATCTCTCACTCACAAACTAGTACATTAAACCTGGGTCACCATTCAGTTTCACAAATTTAAAGTCTCATATTTTCTTTTTCTTTTTTTTCTTTTTTTTTACTTTATTTTACAGCACATTAAAATTCCCAGGACTGACTCCTCCGTCGCCTTCCACAACTTTGATTTCTACCTGTCTAATGTGGGCAAGGACAACCCTCAGGGAAGCTTTGAGTGCATCCACCAGTATGTGTCCAGGTAATGGTAATCGCTGTTCAGCTGAATCAACTATTGCTGTCTTACTACACGTTGCTGGAAGGTAATCCCTCTTTGCCTCGCATTTCTCTCTCTCGCGCTGCATCTTTGTCTCCAGCTCGGGGGCCTCACACCTGGCATTGTTGGCGACCGTTCAGGACAAGGTCACAGTGTGCGCCACCAATGACTCCTACCAGGTGACCCGGGAACGTATGACCCAGGCCGTGGAGGACACGCGTGAACGGGGGACCAAAGTCATCAAGCCTGGGGGGCAATACCGAGGTAAGGCCCTCAGCCCAGGTTTGTTTATCTGCCACTGTGAAGTCTTTTTTTCTGTTTATCATTTGTTTTGACCTGGTCTCTGGCACTTTGTTTTAATTTGAGCAGAAATTTAATTCAATTAATAGTGTGCCTCTATTTTTGATGTAGTTTATTATGACCTTTTTATGATGTAGTTATGTCTTAATGCTTACAATATGAACAAAAAAGTGAAGTTACGTTTGAAGACAAGTAAAATTATACCTTCTAAAACTCTAGTTGTCTTTATTTTTAACCAGAACAAACAATAATTTAGGTGTTTCTCCCACTGAAGGTCTTTACTAAATAATATTCTTTGCATTAGTATTCTTGAATTTTAGCAAACTTTTCCATGTTTGGACTTCATAGCTGGCATGTCAAATTATTGCCCATAAAGATTAGGCATTACAAACAGTCAGTACTATTATAAAAAAGAGTCAAACTTAAAATTTAGATATATTTTTTTGGTAATTTTTTAAATGTTTCAGTTCAGTAAACAAATGTTAATCAAACTTCTATAGTTTGAAAATTCACACTGTATCTTTCAACTACTTTGCTGTTGTAAAAAAAAGTCAAACTCGCACAGTTTGCTTAATCATGAACAAGCTGTAATTAACCACGTTTTGAGGAAAATTGACTTCTGTTTTACAACACCTAGGACTTGATAACTTACTGTAGAATCAGTCACTCAAACCCGTCTGACAACGTGATGTAGGCAAAAAGATCCCAGAAAGCAATATAAACAAAGAAACTCAAAAACAGATGAAAAGCAAAGCGAATCGCATTGGTCAGTCTGGAAAATTTACAAAGCCATTTCCAAGGTTTGAGAGCCATTATCCACAGAACAAAAAATTATGAAACACTGGTGAACCTTCACAGGAGTGGGCAGTCTACCAGTATTACTCCCGAGAGTGCTTCGACCCATCCGCGATGTCATAAAAGAACAACATCTAAAGCCTCCCTTGCCTCAGTGAAGGTCAGTGTTCATCATCTAACAGTAGGAAACAAGCTGGCATAAATGGCATCCATCAGAAAGCTTCAAGTCGAGGCCAATTGCTGTCCAAAAAGGGCCGACGACACACGCGTTATGCAGCAGGTCAGCTTGCTAAAGCACATCAGTGACTGTAACCAAAAAAATAAATCAAAAATAAGGGTTGTAGATTAAAATAAGACCCTAAGGCCAAACTTTACAACGTCTTTATGCACGAAACTCCCCAGTGTGGCTCAATTAATGCAATTTTTTAAAAAAAACAATGATGAGACAAAATTCCTCAGTAATGTGAAAGACTAATTGCCAGTTATTGCAAATGCTTGATGGCAGTTTTGGCTGCCAAGGTTGCAACAACCAGTTATTAGTTTTATTAGGCAATTACTTTTTCTCAAAGAACAACACTGGCTTGGAAAGATTATTCCCCTTTAATGCCTACATTTTAAAATAATATGATTCAGGTTAAATGTCTTTAATTACATAAAAACATAAAAATAAAATTGTGAGCTATATTTTACCGTACTCTACTAAGTTGTCCTTGAAGTTCTTCTCTGCATAGACAGGCTAAAGTGGAGTTAATTAACCTCATTTCCAAATGAGGTGAAAAAAGTGAATCTTTTATTTTTGTGCCCAACACTTGTAGCAGATATAGATCCAAGGATTATGCAGGTATTGCAGAAGAATTTAAAATGTGAACTTTTTAAGCACTTTTTTTTGTAATGATCTGTATAATATGACCTCTGTCCTCTGTGACATAAATGCAGGAATCTATTTGCATAAACAAGCTTAGACAGAAACTGATTCATTCAGAAACTGGGAAACGAGAGGAGCTGCATAGGAAAGCGGTGGGTCTGAAACCTGTCGCAGCTGGTTTACTGTCAGCACCTTTTCTACGCAAAAGCCGTTTTAAGCCATTTGTTTAATCCAAAACTTCTTCTTATCTTCAGTAATCTGGTTCTTTTGAGAAATAGCCATATTATTATTGTTATTTTTATTATTAATGCCTGGCATTTCTGTATGAAAATGATTTAAACCTTTAGATAAAGTACAGATCACCTCACGTTGCATCTTGCCTGGAAAAAAAAAGTTTTCCTTTCTCTTCTCCGTCACTAACCTTAATCTCTTAAAGAGCTTTAGAATTTCATAACAAGCGTTAGGAAGCATGAGAACGTGCCTGTAAAACACATGGCCCAGAAATACAACAGCGGTCTATACGGCTAACGAGGAATACACGTTATGTGTCCCTTATATATCAAAGTTGGTGTTCACCTGTCCATTCTGGCTTTATTTATATTGATGATATACTAGGTCATTCTTTGTGTCTGCCTAATTTGCCCATTAATAGCATAAGTATTATTCTAAGAAAGGCAGAGTTCAATTTGATGGCCATTTCTCCCCATTATGCAAAGGTAGATATTTTTAATGGTGATTTGTGGGTTGTATCTGTTTAGATCTGAGGTGTTTTTTCACATATATGCATAAACCCATACAATATGCAGATCAAACTCCCTGTGGAGAAAATGTTTAACGCCATTTTTACGTTATGTGTTTAGGAAAGCAGGTGCACACTCGTAAGCCAGCACTGTCAGCCCCGGATGTAGTCCCAGAGCGCAAACGCTCCACGCCTATCAACCCAGCCAACACTATACGCAAGTGCCTTTCCAACAACCCCGTATCTCAGAGGCCCCTCCGGGACCGCATCATCCACCTGCTGGCGCTCAAGTCCTACAAGAAGCTGGAAGTGCTGGGCCGTCTGCAGCGGGACGGTATCAACCAGAAGGACCGAAACTCACTGGGGACCACCTTGCAACAAGTAATCAGACATTTTGTTTACCCAAATTTTGGATTATTTGCAGCAATTAAAGTTGGATGCGGCCCAAGTCTCATCTTAGGCAACACAGAAAATCCAGTGCAGCTAATTTCGAGATACACAGCCTGCTGCGCAACTTCCATAAGGCCCCTTAGTCGAGATTAATCCCAGAGATCCCCTTTGCTCTTGTTCAACATATGATTAAAGTTTCCACATTTGCCTGAGGAAGTTCTGTAAAAAGAAAAAGTCTCCATTGATTAGAAACCAATCGCTAAATTGTTGCACGTCATTTGCATGCACAGGTGGCCCGTGCAGGAAATTCTAAAGTTTCAATACATGTAAGAAAAGTTCTCATGCTGCTGAAGTTTGAACTTTGGAACTCGCTCACCGTGTCTTCGTTCAACAGGTGGCAAACCTGAATCCCAAAGACAACACTTACTCGCTGAAGGAGTTTATATATCGCGACGTGCAGCGGGAATGGCCTGGCTATTCTGAGGATGAGAAGATCCAAGCTGACCGGATTCTAGCCCGGTACTGGAATAACCTGTTATCCTTTTGTCTCTCTTGTTTTTTAAAAATACTTTCTAAGTCTATTTTTGAACAAGAGGAGAATCGCAGGGCCGCAGGGCCTCACGTGTTATTAAAGCATGCATACTGCAGGTGATGCATAACATGACTCAGAGACTTACATTGGCTTATTGGTAAGAGTCAGAGAAGTAAACACAGTTGTCCTGAGCTTCACAATATGCATGGTGTCTGACACTAAAATTATTTATTACCATTTGATTTGTTGTTTTTGTATATCCATTTTATTGGAGTTAAGTTGATTAATTATAACAAGATCATTGAAAGTTGGATCTTTCATTTCTTTTAAACCTTGAATTAGCTTCAGTAAGTGAATCTTCTCAAAGATTTTTATTGACATACCAGCCCACATTTGCATGAAATTCAGACTCAGGTCCCAGTTTAAGAAACCTAATAAACAAATAAAATGATTATATGGATATACAGAGAGAGTGTGTGTGTATAAATATATGTCAGGTGTGGAAAATATTTATTTTTCCCTAGTTCTAGTATAATGATATTTGCTCCACACTGATGCATTTCTTTGTTCTTAATAGCAAACTGGGTCTCCCTACTGAGAGAGTCTCATCAAACAGTTCGCCTAAAGACGGTTTCCCTTCATCCCCGCAGGTATGGAAAAAAAAAAGAAAAACACACAGACACTCACACAAGAGGATATTTTAATTCAATTAAAAAAATTTTTCTTGTGTTCTCGCAGAAGCGCCAGGCAGACTTCGACTTCATCGATCCTCTGGCTCCCAAGAAAGCCCGCATCTCTCACCTCAGCAGCCGAGGGCCCGCAGCCTCGTCCTCCGACCGCCGCGAGGACGAGAGCAGCCCCCGCTCCAAACACTCGTCCCTGCCCCCCAGCGTGACCTCAGGGCCTCCCACCCATCTCCCCATACCTTCCCACCCGCCGGCGCCGTCGCACCAGCAGCTCAGCCCAGCCTCCAACTCCAACTCCCCCAGCACCCCAGAAGGCTGCGGCACTCAGGACCTGCCCATGGACCAGAGCTCTTCCTGCAGAGACCCCTCGCCGAGCCCCTTCTCCCGCTCCCTGCAGGAGCGCTGTCAGCACCCGGCCCCCAGAGCAGCCGCCTCTCCCAGCCCGCCCCCCTGCACCTCTCTCACAGTTACCTCCACTGTTGTCACCAGCCCTCCTTTGTCTAGCAGTACAAGTAAGAAATTCAAGAAGAAATCCAAGAAGCACAAAGACAAGGACCGTGAGAAGGCCAAAGGGAAACAAACGGAAAGATCCTGCAGCAGCAGTTCTCCTGTTACGGCGGTGGAGGAGAGTCACAGGGTGAGAAAGAGGCGCAGCGCTGAGGAAGTCATCGAGGAAGCTGTTGAAAAAAATCCTTACAAAGATCAAGGTATGACAGCAGATGAATTGTTTGCATAGCTTAACCACTGATTACAAATTTAATATACGGAGTAATAAGTGATTCATACCTAGAGCAGTTCCTGTAAGTCCAGTTGGCCATTAGGTGTGACTTTAAGAATCTTTGACACTTGTCAGATTGACTTAGAAACGCTTTCGCTAACAGCAGGAGTTTCTTTATTGTCGCTTCACACCATCTCACTTTGCTTCACTCCGACTCAGGTGGAGCACATCCACAAAGCCAGTTCAACCACATGAACGATTAGGTCTGACTAAACTTAGACTTGGGAAATATAATATACTTTTGACAGCTGTGTAGTGTTTTTCTGGACCGATCAGGGTTTTCTCATTTTGGTGTTTTATAATAACAATTAACAACATTAAAAGGTTTTTTTTCTGGTCTTCCTGTCATTAGAGCTCCATAGTAATTTGTATTACCAACAGTCGCCTCATTAGGAGAAGCAGTTACTGTAAAACAGGATGTTACTAATGTTGAGCTAAACAATTCACTTTTTTTCCTATCAGATATCTGTGACCATTGTTAGCTGGCCCTACTGAAACAGCAGTCTCAGTCCATCTTCCTTACAGAATAATGATCCTTACTTGAGTCAAATTCCTACAGGCTGCCAGCAATCCAAGTCAAAATCCAGCTTGTTACATGGCAGAGATCAAAAACTACATGATAAAACGGAGCAACCTCACTGAAATATGTTCAGTTTTCTTCTTTCCTCTTGGTCTTATTGTTCTTGCACAGCTGTGTCAAAGGACATTTATATTCCTTTTTAAATAGCTAATTAAGATGTTGGAAATAACTGAGATTTCTTCTCACTTCCATGACAACCTTAAGGAAGAGAGTTGGTGCATCTTGGTGGGGTTTCACTGATGAAAGACTTTTGTGTTTCTATTCAGTCGATCAGGAGGCAAGGTGAAAATTAGTCAAGGTTTTAGGTCATCTCTGGTTTTAGTCTTTTAGCAAAAGTAAAATGTTTGTACCTGTAATGACTGTCATTTTAGATGGATTGTGTTAGTTTTTAATAGCTCTGTAGTTCACGTAACATTTTTTTCCAAATTATTCTACTCAACTAAATCCAGAAAAGTATAATCCTCTAAATTTCGTTGGATTTACAAAACGACCTTTTTTAAATTAACTAGAGAATTTAATTTAGGAACGTCCTAAACACCATTTAGACAATCCCGTCTGTTTTAATGGGTCCTGGTTTTAGATTATTATCCACCAGTATTAGATTTAAAATTTGTGCTTTAAACCCCGGTCAGAGACTGGACAAGCTTCAAATTAGCTTGTGGTCTAAATATCTCTATTAAATACATTGTTTTGATGTCTTGTTCCAGATTTTTAAACTTAATTGCATCATTTTTTTCCCCCAAAATTAAAAAAGAAATATATTAATGGGAGTTTTTATCATTAATATTTTTATCTGAAAGTGCTGACTTTTGTCTAAGACCTCAATACTGGGTGGTTTAGAGCATAGAAGAAGAATCTGCCATCAACAGGAACTTAATTCACTATTCACTAGAAAATCCATAAATGTCATAATCATTAGAGAAACCCTATTCTGCCCTCTATGGGCTAATTTGGAGTATTGTACTGCCCAAAATGAAAAAGTTTCTTATAGCAACTTTAAGAATATAAGAAAAATTAATGTTTTCTGTTGTTTTACTTTCTTCACTTGTCATAGGACAATTCAAAAGAATGTTAAAGAAAAAAAAATTGCACTTTTTAAAAAAAATAATAATAATAATTTGGTGTATAAGCGACTCGTTAGTATGCGACTTACTAGATGTGTACTGAAGCCTGATTCTGTCAGCAAACCTTTTTTGAGGAAATGTTTCTAGTTTTTATTATGTTGATGCTATTAAAATCCAACACTGTTCTGATGTTTAGTTTCACAGGACGTGTTCAGAAATAATGAGGTAAAAGTCAAAAGGGCTGGTGGTAAGACTCGGTTCTCTCTGCCAATTCACCTCCATAATTTTGCCATCCACACTTTTTCATTATGGTTTGGATTTTAGCCTTTTTTAAGTTTGGCACTTTGGGCCATATTAATGATATTTTGTGATAAATTCAGATATTGATGTTGCATTTAACTGTGCCACCCGGTTTGTTTTAGTTGCTTAGTGAACATTCGTCATGTTGGATGGGCTTCCAGGTCAGTATTGACTTTTCTTTTTCCCTTCTTGTCTTTTCAGTCAAAGAGAAGCCAGTCCACTCCTCTGAATCTTCTTCCAAAACTGATATGCCCGACTATGTAGTGTGAGTTTAAATTTTCAATTTCTGACACGTAAAGAAAACAACTTTACTTGAAGAGGATGCATAGAGCACTCTTCTGTGTCCTTCAGAGCTTTGTTTTTGTTTTTTTTGTTTTTTTTACTGCTCTGTCAGATTATAGAGAAGCTCAGCAGGGGCAAAGCTTCCTGGGTGAATCTGTAAAAATGATAACTGACGGACGGTTTTCTGCTGACCGCACATTCACAGGAAGTACGCGCCGCTGGCGTCTCTCAACCAGAGACAAAGCTACAAAGACGACTTCAACGCAGAATACGACGAGTACCGTCAGCTGCACGCCCGCGTGGAGGGCATCACCAGGCGCTTCACTCAGCTCGACGCTCAGTGTAGGAAGCTGGTTCCCGGCACCAAGGAGCACCAGGTCCGGCTGAAGCACTGCCTCCCTCTTTGAGCAATGACAGCACATCACATTTACTAATGAGCCCAAGATGTATAATGTAGAGAAAGTTTCATACAACTTGTCTGATAGTGAGGATTTGGATTAGTCAGTAAACTCATTCAGTTTAGGCAAAGAAATGATCCTGTTTTTTTTATTTTAATGCTTGTTTTTACTTAAACGTTTGTTGATGTAGCTTAAAGGTTTTTCTGACATGAAATCATTTTTCCTAACAGAAAGTGCAGGAAGAGGTCTTGAAAGAGTACAAAAAGATGAAACAAGTGAGTAGTTCAACTGCCTACTGTAAGATTTCCTTTGCTTTTCTGACTCTGATAGGCAGCGTGTTCTTTGATGTCAACCATTTGCCTTAATCCATTTTTATTCTAATGATCTTCTATATTACTGTAGATCTAAACACCAAGCCTTAATCAGCACGGTGCACTCCCTGACAGCTACACTCCTACCACGTTTCGATGCATCCCTCTTCTAACACAGCACATGACTGGCTCATCAGCAGGCCTCTGCAGAGCTGAATAAGATGCTGATGAGGGAATTCAGGCTTTTCATTCAGATGTTTTGGAGAAGAGATGCATCCAAACATTACAGCAGAGTAGTTCCGGAGAACTAAACTTGGGCAAATCTGCTGAAAAACTAAAAAACACAACAAAAATAAACATCTCTCCTGAAACGTCTTCAACCCCTGGATCTGCACCTCTTAGATGAAGTTATATTAAGGCGCTGGAATGAACTAGTCAAAGTTCAGACATAAAGTAGGAATCTGCAACAAGATTTGAAATGAATTCTTTAGTTGCTCTTCATCTAATCTGACAGAGATTGAGCTATTTTGCAAAGACGTATGGGTAAACTCAGTCTGTCATAGTCTCCTAATAGAGACGCTGCAGTGGCAGCAAAATGTGGCTCTGCAAGACCTTTACTCGGGGCTCACATGCATTCCACATTTTACGATCTTTGTTTTTAGGTTTAAAAAGCAGAAACAAGTATCTCTACCAGTAGTTTGTGTTGGTTGATCACACAAAATGCATATGAGTTTGGTGTGAATATTTTTGCAAGGCATTGCAGGATTCGCTGGCTTTTTTTGACTCAACTTATTTAATTATGATGTCAGAAGGATGTGTTAAACCTTTGATAGGATGCTCTGTTTTAAACCCAGCAGGTGAAATGGGCTTTTAACCAGTATTTTACATTTATTTCAGATAGGAATGGACAATATGGTTGAGAAACATGTCACAATTATAAGCGTTTTATATCACAGTATCAACAGTTTTTGATTTTTTGTTTCTCTTAAATATTTAAAATTACTGGTGATGTGACCTTACTCCACAATGTGTTTTTATTTTTAAGCAGAACACACCTGAAACTGCTGCTGCTGTGCAAGTTACTCAACAGGTTGTTGCTAGGTAACCACAAGTTACTCAGCAGGTTGTTGCTAGGTAACCAAAGAGTGAGTTAGTCAATGCCATCAACCTAGCTTGACTGGCTGAGAGGTTGAGCAGCTAATGTCTTTCCATTGCCTACATCCCCCAAAATGCTGTGCGGTTCTCGATCCGAGTTCAATGAAATTATTGAATATTCTACTCAGACGTGTTATCTATTGATATTGAACATGTCTAGTGTGGTACAGATTATTGATTTTTTTTTTTTTTTTTTCCAGCCCTAATTTCAGACGGGTTAAAAATTACTTGGCCTCGGGCTGCCTAAACATGAGCCGCAGCACATGCAGCCTTACAGGGACGAATGTCGAGTCTGACCTTATGGATTTGCGTTTCTTACAGCACAATCCTAACTACCATGAAGAGAAACAGCGCTGTGAATACCTGCACAACAAGCTGGCCCACATCAAGCGACTAATAGCTGATTTTGACCAGCGCAGAGCCCAGGCCTGGTGCTGAGAATCCAGCACCGATCAGTATTGTGAACGGAGTGTCAAACCAGGGTGGGAGTGACCAAACCTGCTCTTATTTATTTAACGCCTCTTCATTTCCTGCCCCTACGTCCTTTTCTCTCTCTCTCTCTCTCCCTATTCCTTTCATCCTTCATTCCCTCCCTCTTTCTTTGATTCCACAGGCTCATTAATAGCCTGCAATATTGAAAATCTTTTTTTTCCCTCCCCATGATGAATTTGCTCCTGTGGAATTGATGCCACTGGATCAGCAGAAAGGAGCAGCCTGCTTGTGTGAAATCTTCAGCTCTAACTTGTGAAGGACTCTCTTCAGACTAAAAGTATTTTTGAGCACCAGAGAGAAAATATTAACTTGTATTTAAGTAAAAAAACAAAACAAAAAAAAAACAAAGAAAAAAGAGGGAGATCTATTTATTTTGAGACTCGTATTAAAAACAAGAGTTAGCAGATGATATATTGTTTAATTTTTTTTTCTTGAGCAATGCAAAAAAAAGGAGAAAAAAAAGTGTATACCACAAGCCTTATATGTTGAATTTGTGAAGCCATTTTTGCACGCAAGATCCATGCTTCTCATTTAGCTGAGTGTTTTTTTTTTTTTTTTTTTTTAACCTGCTGCCTCGTTTTCTGCTCCTCTCAAACAGAAACTGTACTGGAAAAACTGCTGCCGAAGCTGAGCGAAAAGGGAAGGAAACGAGGCAGCGGGGAGGAATCACATAAGCTTTATGAGAAGCAGCAAAACGTGTGCATGGGTGGTACATAATTAGTTGTGAAAGAGGGGAGAGGTTATGGAAACCAAAGGCTTGTGATCCTGTGACACCTCTGGGTGGGGGGGGGCAGTATTCTTTGCACCAAATAAAATTCACAATGCCTTACGGCGTTTACATTTGGGGAAAGTGGACTCAGGTCCACATGCTATGCAAAGGAACTACAACTGCCTGAGAATGTGTTTGTGTGTGTGTGTGTGTGAATGAGTGTATGATGATTATAGGAAGGGATGCGGAGTCCAGAATGAGTGTGTGAGCGTACGGTTGCGAATGACATGGAGAAAAAAAGTTAGAAACGTGAAACCCCCTCTCTCCCCCCCCCAAAAAAGAAAAGAAGCTGCTATAGTCTGTTTACCAGCCGGTACACTCAGGATCATCCCGGCCGGAGACTCAGTACCTGATCCTAGAAGAAGTGATGCAAAACATCCTTTTTTTTTTTTTTTTTTTTTTTCTTTTTCACCCCTTCAGCATTTCCTTTCTCAACCATGGAAAGGGTCGCCTCCACCCCATATTTATCCAGTGGCAAACGGCGTATATTTCAGTTTTAGAAAGAAGCCTCCTCATCCAACAGAGGACCCATCTGTTCTTTGGGGGCTCCTTGTATTTAATTGTTGGTTTAAAACAATTTCAGTTTTGTAAATTCCTCTGCATTTATGCAGGTTTGTTTTCATGGATTGAATGGCTGGCTTCTGGTCTTTGTTTTATTTTATTTTTTTTTTTCTTTCAACAAGGGAAAAGAAATGTTTACAGACTTGTTGGAACGTTTGCCAAAGATGAAATGCCTTTCCGGTACCGCTTCCATGGAGCAAAGGTTCTAATAGGAGAACAAGTTAAGGACATGTTAAGACAGCAGATTTAGAGAATGAGCTGTCTGTTTAAAAAATGTTCAGAAATGTGAAGAGGATCAGCCTCTTTATCAAATCCAATATTGGACTACTAAGAGTTTGTCTCATATAATTTCCACTGGATGATTTAAATATTTTGGTTGTGGCATTCTTCCTTAAAGTCAGTCTCTGCAGCAGACTGGCTGTTTTGGTTTTCTGCCAGAATCAGTGAAAAAAAAAACTACTTGTTTCCCCTTTTCTGGTTATTTTTGACAGAAATATTAAAACTTGTATGTTTGGATACATGTCACAACATCTCACAGATTTGGATCACATAAATTACTTTTAGCATGCCTTTTTTTTTTCTTCCCCCCTCCCGCCCCCCTTTAAAGTCTCCACGGTGTTGTCCCGTTGACTGAGTCGTCCTCTTCAGCATTCCAAGGGTTTCTGTCCTAATCAGAAATTGTCTTGAGTTTGGTTAGAACAACATGAGATGGCCTAATGTGACTTAATGTAATAAGGGGTTTGACCAGTCTTAATGAGCAAAATAAAAAAAAATATACCCAAGCAAAACAAGAAAATTTGGACTGAAATGTCATCTTGCTCTCCTGACAATGTAAGACATTTCAATAAAAATCAACTTGGTTTACATGGAAATATGTCTCTGTCATTTTTAGAATGTCAGATGCTTTTCTGACATTCTGAACTTACCCCAACTTCTGGGCTTGGTCATTAGCCACTTAAGTTATTCTGAAGTAACTCCAAAAGCTTTGTATAAGGAAAATGTTTCCTCAAAGATGTGTACTTTCTTCAAACTTTAGTAAACCGACATTGTTAAAATCCATCCTGAAGTGTATATAACATCTCAGGTTTTGTCTCAAAACCCTTAATTCTACATGTATGTAAAGAGGAACCTTTAAAAATACTTACAATTTTATTTTATGTGTATTTCTTGAAATCACTTAGGTCATTCTCAACTGACAGAAAAATGTCTTAATAAATGTAATCATTGCAGCTGTAAATATGCCTTGTTTTTCTTAATATGGGGCGTTTTATTCTAAAACTGAATTGAATGAGTTCTTCCAAAACTCAAATTTACGGACAGAAAACTGGCTGCTCATGTAAGAATTAAGGTTAGCTGAATTATGTCGTGGGCTATGACCACTATGTTGACTAACATTGCTTTACTCCATTCAGCATGGAAAGCTGTAGCTTTCTCATAAAAAAATAAATAAAAAAAGGCTTAAATGCTACCAGTAGAGTGTGAGCTAATGCCATTATGTTAATATGGATTTACTCTTAAATATGCAAACATTAGCTTATAAGTTAAAATTATCTAAAATGCTGCTAGTGGCAGGTGGGCTATCACTATCACGGTGACTTACAACGACACACTCCATTTTTATTTCAAGAAATTAGCCATAAATGCTTATTTAAGCATCTGTTGCTATACAGTATTTTATAAGTATTAATGTAAACATGAATGATAATTGCGCTCTGAGAAAATAAGTCGTGTGTCTTTAAGATAGTCTTCATGCCTTCAACGTCACCCGTTATTTAAACGTTCAAACACAATCATCCTCTCGGTGACGACATTGAACGCCTCATCAGAACAAACCCAGAAATTTTCAAAGAAAATTAAGATGGCGCAGCAGTTCGTGAAGGCTCAGATTAAAGGGGACAAAGTGGTGGTCTTTCTGAAGCCGTCATGTCCCTACTGTGTTATGGCTCAGGACGTATTTTCCAAATACCAGTTCAAGCCTGGCCATTTGGAGTGTATTAATATCAGTGGGCGCAGCGACATGGACAGCCTCCAGGACTATTTCCTGGAAACCACCGGAGCCCGATCGGTAAACTCCTCACCTTCTTCATCCTTTTAAATAACGCATGTTAGTTTATTATCTATCCTTATAGGATAAGTTTCCCTACGCAACCTCTTTTAACTGTTGTTTATATTATATCCACGAATCATCATGACGAAACGGAACCGCTCGTATTTCTTTTATTATTTATTAAAATTCTAAGTTTATTTTTTTTAGAACTTATGTACTAGATGCTATTTTTTCGTTGGAAAAATTTTTAATATAATTATCACTATTTTAAATTATTCTTGAGTCGTTTTCTCCTAAAAAAAAAAAATCTGCAAGAATAGGGGAAGTACTGAACGTGGTGCACAAAAAGACTTTTATTCTATTTAACGTTGTAATAAAATCTTATTTTTATGAAAAGGTGTGAATCTGTCATAAATTTACCCGAATGTAAAAGTCGTAATGTCCACACTGAGTGGACTCCACCAAGTGACATGCTTCACCTTTTGGAGGATTCATGTTACATTAGGACTCTTAGGTAAAGCAAAAGCTACGGACGACCGCGTAAAAACCTTATGGATCATCTTAAAATAAAAGGCAGTCACAGCTCAAACAATGTTTAAGCTTCAAATAATTTTGAGAAATGGTTTAGGAACAGTTCTTGTTTCTTGGTTGTATTTTTTCTATGCCACTCCTCCTCTAAGAGATTATAACGTCATTTATTTGTACTGATCTTTACTAAGGGGTGTGGGTAATTGTCACGCTATTCATCCGTTCACCAGTCTTTGTTCTTTCCCACGATGGCTAAAAAATTGCAGGTCCCACGGGTGTTTATTGGTGAGAAGTGTGTGGGAGGAGGAAGTGACGTGCAAGAGCTGGACAAGAGTGGCAAGCTGAAGGGAATGCTGGAGTCCATCGGGGCCCTTCAGTGATCTGCTTCCAGGTACCAAACTCTTGCATCTTCCTGCTGCCTTCAGTTCCTATGACTTTTGTCTTGCCAAAATGTAACACTTTTCCCAACTCGATTATGTTTTGTCAGCACTTTTTGTTTAAATTGTGAATGCCTTTATGTATTTATTCTACTATTTTGCCAGGTTTTTCACCTGAGTGAAGTTGCCCCCCCCCCATGCCTTCTTCAAATCAGACAGAATTGGTGTCAAACGTTTGTGCAGCAAAAATATTTTTGTTTGTGCCGCTATCATTTTAAAGATATTAAGAAATGTTTCCAGAGGTCTTGAAAGGTCAGCTCAGACAAAACTGAAACTTTAATGCCACTAAGCATCAACTGGGTGGTTTAAGATTCTCCCAGAAGGCAAACAGCAGGGTTTTTTTTATGCATCTTCTCTGCTGAAGGAACTCTTGAAGCACCAACAAAGAAATGGTTTCGTTCAACCGTAGAACATCTCGCAGTTTCACACTGTTTTCTTCTTGCATACCAAACCAGACCTGGGAAAAAAAATGTCCAGATTTCTTGGGAACCCCCATAAGCACCATGCAGGTAAAACTGTCCATTACTGCTCAAAACAGGCCAACAATCAGCAGGATTAACTGGAGGAAATGAAACGCTAACCGTCCACACAGAGAGCAGCGGCGGCGTGTTCGTTCTAAAACAAGTCTTTATTTAAAGTCAGACACTGTGTTATCTACAGTCTGTACAGCTCGGGCCCGGCCGGGTTCTCGCCGGGTCCCACTTTTGTTTCACAGTCCAGAGTTTCACCTGCCATTTACTGCTGTTGCTCGCGAATTCAGATTTATCCGAGGACTTCTCGTCGGATGCCGAATTTGGCGTCCTTCAGGTGAAACGGACCGATGGCGACACACGGATCTCGGCTACGTTTCTGCACAGCTACTCAAGCTAGTTGCTCCGACTAATGCCACAGACGGCGCGATTAGTTATTGTACATTGATAGTAATCCATGGGATACACAAAGAGCTGTAAAAACTGGTCACTGATGAGTTTCACTTACACACTTCACTTGTAAATAGCAGCGAAAAGTCCGACTGTAAATTAGTGCAGCCACGTCGTCTCTACGTCACGTTTAAGGACACGCCCACAGGTTATAGAGTTTACAAAAATAATTGCAGCACCATAAATCATAAATCCCGTTATGATTAAAAATAATCTTGCTTAAGAGGAAAGGATAGCAACAAATCAAACAGGATAAAATGAATATCGTTGTAACTCAGAGGCAGCAAGGTTTTTCCTGTAGTGATTCATGTTCTTTTCAATTCCACTTCTGAGGAATCCGATACGTTTTATGTCGGTCTAAACGCTCCCAATAAGGACTATTCAATATGTTTTCAATGCACCAAAAACATTGTAAAAAAAGCTAAACCTAAACAGATTAGACTAATAATGTAAAAAATATAGTGATTAATGTTTACATTTAGTGCATAAAACACTTTTAATTCACCTTACAGCCTTCACAACGTCTGTTTAAAGGATTTAAATTCAGACTTTTTTTTTTTTTTTTTTTTTGTCAGTGCAAGTGAAAAATGCCCTCGTTTAAACCAAGCTGTGATCAAAATATATTGCGTCTAACGAGACGATGAAATTTACCCCCCACTCCCCTTCTCCTCCCGACGAGATGCTTTAGTGATCGGGCAATAAAATTCGAAATTGCAATTAAATTGGTCCTGCTCAAAAAGCTAATCTGAGCTTCTGATATATTACAGACGGAAACCGGGGCAGTTTTGTAATTTGCCTCGGCTCCTTATCTCGCTCCAGCTGACGGGGCTGTCGGGTGTTTCTGCTCTTAAGAAACGCCGGGTGTGTGCGCGCGCGAGCGCCGTGACGATTATCAATCCATCAGGACACGGACACACACACTGGATCTGTTCACGTCTCGACTCGTCGCAACCACAAAACTTTATTGAGTTTCATCGGGGTTTTATGCGATGGACCAACACAAAATGGTGCGCGAGTTTGAAAAATGATGGCATGAATTTGTATTTGTCCCCCTCCCCCCTATTCTAATTTACATAAATAAAAATCTTCAGAAGGACAACTGTTAGTCATTGAAGACTGGCAGAAGAAACTCACATCATTTTGCAGTCGCAGCTAATGATTGTTTTAGTAATCAGTTATTCTGATGATTAATCGATTAAAAAATTGGCATCTTCTGCAGATTTTTACCGAACCGCTGAGGCTTTTTTTTTTTTATAAAATAACAGGAACACATTTAGTGATGCAAACAAAAATACTTATTTAAATAATAAAATAAACATTTTAGTGCTGAAAATACAATAACAGCCTTCCTAACATCAACATGTGAAAAGTTCATAAAGTGTGCGACTAATCTGCTGATGCATTTTTTGGATTGACTCGTTCATATACGAGTGCAAAAGGTGCTGAATATGAGATTTTTTAAATCTATTTATTTATTTTACAGAATTTGAATGGTGTGAAGCTAAAGCCGTAACACTTTAGGAGTTCTGGGTAGAACATATTTACAGTCAAAGAAGGTTTTTTTTTTTTAATCTTAAATACAAATGTGTTTATTTTCTGTACAGTTTTGGCTTAGCTAGAGCTCTGAGTGTGTTGATCTTTCACCATATGGAAGAACAAGCCGTAGCTTGAAGCTACACGGTTTTACCTCGAGGGCGTGAATACAAACACATGCCACACTTTATTAAATAAAATAAAAAATAAAAATAAAAATCCGTATTGTTTCTGCTTTCCACCACAAAAAGTTTCTTTCTTTTTTTTTTTTTTGTTGGTCAATCACATAAAATACCATTAAAACACACTGAAGGTTTGTGGTTTTAATGTGTCAATGTGTAAAAACTGTAAGGGGTTCGACCACTTTGGCCCCGTGTCCAGACAGAACAGACGTTGCACCAAACAGATCTGCCACTTCCTCATTTTCAGTGTGTTTTTTTTTCTTCTTTTTTTTTTTTTTTTTCTCAACCTGAAGTTACATTAGGAACAAGCTTCAAACAATCTGCATATAATTGATGCTGGTTTGTTTTCCGGCGTTTTGTCTTTGAAGCTCGCTGTATTGCCAGTGCTGCCAGTAGAAAATATAATCTATCACAGAGCCTCCGACCAGAGGTCAGACGGTCGTTTTTAAAGTCCTATTGGGTTTTTAAGGATCAGTCGTTTCGTATTGCCCGTGTCGCAACAGTCCGTAGGCAAAGGAGGGAGGAAGAAGCGGAGACTCGTGTCCCGACCGATCCGTTTATTTATTTATTTATTTTTTGTTGTTGTTGTCTCTCCACTCGTCCTTTCCTGTGTTATTCCACAAAGTCAAACCTTTGTCTCAGTCAACCATCCTCTCCTCACTCGGGTCATTCCCTCCCTTGATTCCTTTCCTCCGTCCCACCCCCTGTTCCTTTCCTGCAGGGCGGGGGCCTCCAGGTGTGGTCACATGACCAAGCAGCGGGACTTGCGAAGCTTGCGCCGCCGCTGCTGATACTCGCTGAGCTCCTGCAGGTATCCTCTGGATGGCCAGCGAAGCCGCTCCACCTGCTCGCGCTCCTCCTCTGGAAATTTAAAAAAAAAAAGAAAAAAAGATGACGACATGAAGAGCAAGAATCGGTTACAGCTGAAAGCGCAAATATGTGGCTGAATGCCCACGAAGAAGAACGATATGGAAATGTTTACAATGCTCCTATGTACATTAACAGTAAAATGTTCTTAGTCGAAGCCAAAGAGGATAAAATATCTAAAATTTGTGTCCCCAGCCAGATTGTGCCCTTAAGTATCCGTCCAGTAGCATATCGAGTCCTGTGTGATTGATGAACACAATAAAACAGTTTCTGCTTTGCAGTGTTGGTGTTATTCAATGCAATTAGGCTGGATTTATCCGCTTTGTTGTCGCCTGGTAAATGCACAACAGCTATAAACTCCACCAATCAGACAAATTATCAGTGGACTTTTACTTGTGTTTGGTTTCATTTAGGGTTCCAACACATTTCCCAGTTACTCATAGAATGTAATTTATTTTTCTTAATGATTTTTTGGAGAATGAAAACGGCATCTAGTTGGTTTTATTATCCATATATATCCCAAATTATTAAACAAATTGATTCAGTTTGTTTTCTACGTTATCTTTCTGGCATCCAAACCAAGTCGCATTATCCTTATTCCAAGCTGTATTACAGTTAAGAGTCGTTAAATCTCCAAATTATTACCCCACATTAAATACCAGTTCTTTAATATTAAAGGTATTATTTTGTATGTTTATTTTGTTTCAGAGCTGAGATTAAAGGACGTTAGAGGCCTTAAAAACTGCAAAATGGACCCTTAACAAATTGAATAACCACAACAATAAATCTAAAAAAGAAACCAAGGTTGATATGTGAAAGGATGGCACTTGGATATAAAAATATTAATTGGATATAATTTAAAATATCTAAAGTTTTCCTATATTTGTTAATGTACTGATAAATGAACACAAAATTGAAACTGAAACGTTTTTCCATCCTCCATGTTTTTTTTTGTTTTTTTTTCATGTTTATGCAAAGTTGCAAAACGATAAAAGCTAATTTCACATACTTTTCAAGACTGTGCAGGAACCCGGTTAAATTACAGTAGAGGTCCAAAACATGAACGTGTTTTACTGAGGCGAGTAAAACACAACGAAGTCGTCGCCTTGAACCTCAACTGATGCAAATCAGCTGGCAGGAAAAGCTTTTCATGTTCCTGTTTCACACAGGAAGGTTATTAATGTCGCTCCGCCTTCCACCTCTATTTACAGTGGGGGGGAAAAATAGATGCCTTTTCTGTAAAGTATCATTTGCATAAGCAGCTATATTATTTGTAAGATACTGTATGTGTATGTAGAAGTTCGGTTTGGGAATCCTCAGCCTCGCCGTCCGAATTCAACTAATTTAAACTTATACTAAATTGAAATGCAAACACACTCTTGTACTGCTGATAAGACATCCTAGAAGAGCAGAGGCCACATTCGCTTCAGAAATGACTCACAGTTATTAATTAATGAATAATTAGAAAAATGAGTCATATTTTACTTTTGGTATTAATAATTTTGATTATGTAGATAGACGCGTCTGAACTAAAAAAAAAAAAGCTTTTATTAAAATGAATCAAAATTTGCCTACATTCATCTCTGAAAATATACCAAAGAACAGAAAAATTCAGGTATCGTTAACTGGTGGATCTATAAATGTTATTTTTCTATATGGTAACCATTTTGAATCCTAATTAGTAACATTTTGCAAAGCAAATGATCACTATTAAAAACAATTTGCAATATTGTTATTAAGGGCTGACAGGCTCATTTCAGAGGTTAACTGTGTTTGTACTGAAATGTAAATGACCTTTTAATTAGTGCAACCACAACACATGGGAGCAAATAGCTTTGGGTGATTTATTAACTTTATTGACTCATCTCTAAATTACATTCATTGATCTATTATCGAAACTGAACATTGTCGTTCTGCTAACATCTCTGAACTTAAACACTTAAAACAGAAAGTGTCTCACACTGATTTGTGTCTATTTCAGCAAAAATCCCACTCACAACGTGGTAGCAGCGTGGATGTATTCTGCTGTATTAAAAATTAAGAAAGAAAGAAATCATAGATGCGACTTTTAAGCATCATGAAATATTAGCTTTCCCACTGACCTGACAGCTCCAGGAAGTCGGGTTTATGACTGAAGATCAGGTAGTTGTTGGCGATGAAGTGGAGGAGCCAGATGTACAGCTGCTCCGCGTTGTGACACTGGCAATTCAAAGCAAACCAACAGAGCATTTTTTTTTTTTTTTTTTTTTTTACTTTTCCCTCTGAAGTCCGTCTCTTTTCAAGCCGCACAGCGGCCTCGGCGGCACCCCACCTTCGCTCTGCGCAGCAGTCGAACCACGCTGATCCCCGTCGACGACAGCTCCCTGCTGGGCATGCTCTGTAGGTAAGCGCACACGCACACCTCGCACAGGTGCTGGAGCCGTTTCACCTGGTACATCTCGGCGCAGACCAGCACCGCCATGGCTTGCAGCACACTGGCTGGACACACAGAAAAAAAAACACACACACACACAGATTTCTGTCTAACATCCTTTAAAATGAGTCAAAAATGACCTGGTGCGGGTCAGAAAAGACTCACGTAGTCACAAATCTCTCGTTCCTCGATTTCAATACAGGGCAAATGAGTGAACACGTGTAAGCTGATTCATCTGCCATCACTGACGTCTTCTAAAGCCAAACATGCTCATCAGGAACATTCATATTTAGATTTTATGTCATATAAACAATACAAATGCATATTTTTCTTTTACGGGTCGTCTCAATCAACGAAATATAAATCGGGACTCTTAATGCTAAACAATATTTTCTATCAAAGATTACTTGCCAAAAATAGCAGCTTGATAAAGATTTCTGAAATGAACGAGAAACAAATGTCTTTCGTTGTAACTGGTGATATTTTTATGTTTTACAGACATAAAGCTAGACATGAAACTTATTCCAGCAGGTATTTTTAAGCGAAAAGGTGATTTCAGTAAAATGTGGGTTACAGTACCACATTATGTTGCTGTTTTTTTTGTCTCAAAGCTAATGCAATACAGAAAAATACCATTTTAAATGTTATATTTACCCCTGACACGCATTAACAATCCTAAACAAAGACTCCAAACATGACTACATCCCAAAGTTTAATTACATATCACACAAGCTTTGACTACGACGTCCACGACCATCTTCCATCTTCTTGAATTCAATTAAGGAAAAAAAAAAAAAAAAGAAACTAATTCAGCTGGATGATGTTAAAATACCCACTCAAACTGTGCCAGTGCAGGCTGATATTTCCTGTTACTCATGTCCAACCCCACGTTCAGCACTGTTTTGCCTCATCATGCTCACACCGCCCGTCTCTCCCTCCTCCTGTACGCGCCTCAGACGTGCTGCTGCTGCTGCTGCACCATCAGCTCAGCAGCAGCAAACACAGAAGGCTTTGTTATGTCTGGCTGCACAATTGCTCAAACGAGCGTTAGGAACGTCTCCTTTCATATGTTCAGACCGTATTCTCTGGGCGAAGCGCCACGCTAGCCCCGCTGCTTTGATAGCTGCTCCGTTTGTCACTGATACTCGCGGAGTTACCTTGTGCTGACCTTGAGCGCCGGGGGTCTGATGTAATTTAAGGGCTGCTGCAGCTTCAGGAGCTGCTCTTCTTGGTCTCAATGTTCCTGAAGTCATGAGTGGATATAAAGCTGTAGCTCTGCGAAAACAGAGATGCTCGTCCTAAGGGTATTTAAGCCTGATATTAAGGAATAAACGTAGAGTTTTTTTTTTGTTTTTAATTGCCACTACAATATGAATGTGTTGCAATATCCTGCAGACAAGCAATAATTACAGGAGTCCTCAAAGTTGCAATATTGCTTTTCACAGCATCACTGAAGGAGAGAAACGTTTTCATTTCCAGACACTAGTGCCAAGTGGTGTGACTCTAAAAGCCTTTGTGCTCTACCTAGCTCTTATTACTAGAGATGCACTGAGAAATGGAAAAAAATCCAGTAATTTTTTAATACATAAACATTCCCAGGACAGAGCGAATACCAACAACATCTGCATTGTGGAAATGATTAAAGCTGGAAGAACGTTCACAGTTAGCAGCTGTCAGTATCAGTGGAGCCAGAGCAGCTAGTATTTAACAGCATTTCTGTGGATCATCCAGGCTGGGAGAGAGCAAGGCTCACAACAGATAACAATAAGGCTGAGCTGGAGTTTGCACATTTGTTCTGTCTTTTTTTTTTTTTATTGATTTCAAACTCAAGCTTTCAGGAAGACAGGAAGTTTAGAAAACATGATTTTCATTGCTGTTTTTCTGTCCCAGTGGAGTGCAGCATAATGACTCTTTTATTATTAATAATGTGATGTGATTAACATTTTAGTGGGTTTTTTCCTGTGTTTTCAGTAGATAATTGCTTTGAGTCTCCACAACAGGATGACGCTAAAAGTACTAGTGATATTTCTTTCAATGGATTTTTGTCGTCACGTTGTAAACTATCTCATCATTTTACATAATTTTCCTTAAATATCAGCATTTCATATGAAGAAAATACATCCATCCTCTTTTTACTAAAGCTTTGTGTTTCTCTTTATCTTAAAACTGTAAAATGATTTTTTTTTTTATTTAGCTGGACTGATGGCAGAAATGGCTCTTTGTATGGCAAAGAGAGCAGGAATCCGTTGGATCCCTTTTTATTAAAGTACGTAAAGAGAAACTGGGACATTAGCAGCTGTGCACCGATTTACCACCCAGCTGATTTACTGGTGCAGATGATTGTATGTGAAGACAATAAACCAACAAAAAGCTTTGAAAAATGTTTATCTGTCATTTAATAGAGCAACTGTGCAAGACTCTGCTTTTATATTGGATCAACTCAGATTTACAGGTTTTTTTGTTTTTTTTTTACAAAAATTAGACTGCTTTATCAAAATAGTGTCTATTCATTATATTATTGAAATATTATGACAAATGTCTTAAGAAGTAAATCTCTCCAGTTTAGTTTTAATTTAGAAAAACAAAATGCAGGGTGCTGTGGTGGCGCAGTGTTCAAGGACAACCCACGTATGAAGGCCTTCTGTCCTCGACGAGGACGTCACAGGTTTGATTCCCGGCCTCATGACCTTTGCCCCATGTCTTCCCCTCTTTCATCACTTACTTTCCCATCTAACTCCTCTCAAATAAAAGCCACTAAGCCTAATAAAAAACCTAAAATCGGCCCTTGAGTGCTCTCAACTTGACGATTTCGGCCTAAATGTAGAAAAGCTTGGACAGCTCTGCTCTAAAGAGACGCTGTGGAAACTGGATCAAGAAGAGCCAGAAGTAGAAATGATCAGTGATGAGTTTAAAATGAAGGCAAAGGAAGCTTAGATATCTTTAGAAGTACATTCTGCTCAGTTGAAGTTAGTGTCATAGAGGTTGTAACCAGGTGCATAAATATCACTGCATCTCAATGTCACAACAAGCGATCTATCAGCTGAGTGCTCTCAAAGTGAAATGTGCGACAGTGGAAAACAACATGTGTGGAGCTGTGACTTGGCAGCTGAGGCAGCAATGCCACGGTCCGATTTCAAGCCTCCCCCCCTAAATCTAATTGAATTTTAAGCTCAGTGCTGTTTTCCTAGCGTCTCCCGAGACGAACACTGGCAACACGTTGCGCTTTCGCAGATGGACGATAAGACCAGTCGTCTGCGTCTTTGTTTAAGGCTTAGGTTTGTGACTGAGGGCCGGGTGGAAACGCTCATACACGCCTCTGTTGTTTGCCCATTTCTTCGTGGGGCTCATTTCCACAGCATGCGGAGAGACCCCGAGCTCTGCTACGAACTAATCAAGCGTCTATTGACAACTTGCTCACAGGGAGATTCCTCATTTTTAGATCCAGCGCTGCATACGGCTGTATAGAAGCTGCAGCAACGTGATTCCACTGTGAAAATTAGGAGCAATCTAACCTTTAATTTGAGAACATTTATTCAGAGAAAATGACACGTTAACAAATAATTGCTCTAGTAAAATCCCTGATTGACAACCATCTCTTATGAGGCATGAATACAAGGTGACAGAGACACACGTTATTCTTCAAAATGGGAAAGATAAGAGAAGATCTCATTGAAAAAGGCAGATGTGAGTTTGTCATCATCAGTCAGTAAATGCTGTCAAGATATCAGATGATCATCCTGATCTACACGTCTACAATCAGAGAAAGAGTGATGAATGATGACGCTTTCAGCTGGAACTGTGACAAGCAAGTCCCCTAAAACCAGGGCTGCAGCTAACGATTATTATCGATTAATCTATCAGTGATTCAACCGATTAATCGAGAAAAAAAATTGGCACATTCTGCAGATTTTTCATTTAACCACTTAAGCCTTTTTCTACAATATTAGATATACATTAATGATGCAAATCCTTTTTTATAAAGAAAGAAAATACATATTTTATCGCCTAAATGCAACAACATAACATTCTTTTATAGAATTTGAACCGGGTGAAACTAAAACTACACCACTTAGGGAGTTCTGGGTAAAACACATTTACAGACAAAAGTATTTTTTTATCTTAAATGCTGAATGTATATATATTTTGGGCAGCTTTGGTTTAATTACTGGGGTTTTTTAACCTTCTTCTGACTTGGCGATTAATCGATTACTAAATTAGTTGATGATTATTTCAATAATCAATTCATCACGATTAATCGTCTCAGCCATACCTAAAACCCTAAGAAAACACGCGGGGTGAATTGAAGAGCAAAGAACAGAAAAGACAATCGAGAACTCTAGAAAAATGGCCCAAAGATGAAAGGTCAGAGATCCTTCTCTCTCTGTGAAATGTGACTAAATGCTGTCCTACTGGTAAAGGTTGGCTACACAAAGTCTTAGCATCAGGGTTGCTAATAACCCTTCTGATTATGTTAAAAAGAGAAAAAAGAATTTAACTTCACCTTTTTTTTATTCCTAAATAAATGCGATCAAATTAAGACAGATTTATCACATTGTTTCTCAGTGAAATTATGCAACTAAAATAAAAGATTTGTCTGTGAAGGATGCTCTACTCTACTGTATGTAGTTTTAGGATATTTTCTATTTCAGGACATCTATTTCAGCCCTTATCCAGTCTAAAAGTTAGCTAAATGCAACCCTAGATGCTCTGCAGAACACATTTCCCACGCTGTCATTTCTTTGTATCAAGCAGAAACAGTTCCACCTGTGGGTCGGCTGAGTGCAGTAACCTCACCAGGACAGCAGGAGTCAGTGTAGAGGTACTCCAGAAAAGACAGAAAGGTGTCCGAGGAGACGCCGTGGATGGGAACCACTCTGCTCCGGGCCTCGGCGTACTTTCCGCTGAACATGGCCGCCATCACGTCACAGCGGGCCACCAGCACCGCCCGGTGGGCGGGCAGCACGCTTCCTGAATTACACATTAATCGGCAGGGTTTACAGTTTAGTTCGGCAAAAAAAAATCCCTGAAAGGTAAAGAACTGGAGAGAACAAACGATTAGCGCTGATAATAGACGCGTTTCGCTTGTAGCGACACGGGAATAAATGATCACAAAAGGAGTCTAAAGTCATAATGGGCAAATTTACTTCATTAACTGCACTTAGCAGCCAGTGGCGAGTCTCCGACTTATTCAACAGAAACATACTTTTATGAAATACTCTTTGACCTCTAAAATTTTAACTTGGCTCAGGGGTGCATGGCTCGGAGAAGCTCGCTGCATTCTTTATGAGATAAATATTGATTATGGGACGCTTTGGGCCCTTTTGCTTGTATTTCTCCGTTTAATAGAGACGAGGAGCTTTTTGTGGAGAGGAAACATGACAGAAGTGGGAAAGAGCCTAGAGCCTTTCATTTCAACTGTTTTACCTTAATGTGTCTCTTTATGGACGACCTGAGCTAATGATTCACTTCACCCTGCTGTGTGAGACTCTGCCAGCGTTTGTCAGTCAGTGTGTTTCTTAACTGCGCCCACCTTGAACCATGAAGATGACGTCCGAATAAAGAGGGGAATTAAAGAGGTTGACGAGGGTCTGGGGTCCGAGTTGAGCTGCCCGTGCACTCGGCGTGTCCCTGGAGCTCTACACACACACACACACACACACACACAGAGAAAGGGAGCAAAAAGCCATAAGGAGTTTAGTTAGCATTCCTCTGCTGTGTGTCAGCTTCTTGTTACTAGGAAAAATTGTCATGCTGAGCATCTTTTGTGCCTCCCTCATAGAATACAGATGGCCCCTCCTGCCAGTTTTACTCAGCGCTACAATAAAACACAGTCAAACTGCAGAGCCAAGACCGACGGGACGGCAAGTGGCCGACAGAGAATGAAAATTGGAGAGCAGACGGTCGTCCAGACCACCTATTAATAAAACATTTAAGCTTTTTTTTTTTTTTTAAGTTTTCTTTATGGCTCTAGTAGCTTGACAGGAAGAAAGGCAGAGAGAGAAAGAGAGAGAGAAAGAGGAAAGACATGCAGCAAATGGCCTGAGGCCAGGAATTCAACCGGTGACAACTGCAGCAGGGGTTTTTTTTTTTTAAAGGGTAGATTTTTTTTTTTTTTTTTTTTTTTTGCCTTTCAGCAAATGGTCTTTTGCTGAAAGGCGATTTGCAGTTAACGAGTAATCTATTACTGAATCAGTTAACGAATATTTCAATAATCGCGATTAATCCAATGAAGCGTTTCAGCCCTGAGGTACGGCAAACTTTAACGTATTTCATTAGAACTGTATATACCAGGGCAACAAACTAGTTGATCATTTTTAACTAGAAAGAAAGAGATGCATGTTTTTCAATTGTTTTTGTGCAGATAAAAATCTGAACCGTGTGTGGCCAGCGTTTGTATTCACTCCCCATGAATCAATATTTCACTGAACCATCTTTCATTATAACAGCTGCAAGTAGTTCATCTCCATCAGCTTTCCACTTCTACAAACTAAAAACTTTTTCTTTTTTTCCCGAAATAGTTCTAGTTCAATCACATTGGAGGGAGAGCATCTGTAAACATTATTAATTTTTTTAATGTCCTGCTGAAAGGTGATTTACTTCTGTCCTCCGTGCCCTTCCTCAGGTTTTCTTCTAGTGTCCAATATTTAGTTTCATGCAATCATTTCTAACCAGCGTCCTTGTCTCTGCTCAAGGAAAAACATCCTCACAGGTCAAAACTGTTCACTTTTTCCTCATGTGATCACGTTCTTCCATATGTTCGCTGTGTGGCTTTGTGGCAAACATTATCTGGAGCTTTTTACACAGATTTCTTTTTCTGTTTTTTTTTTTTTAAATGTGAGATTTGTGAGGTTCCGGCTACAAATGCACATCATACTTTTCAGATTTGTACAAAATACGGAACATGTTTAGCGCCCTGCAAATGAAACATGGAATATTAAAGGAAAAAAAAAAACAAAAACAAAAAAAAACTTTTTTGTCAACATTTGCATAGTGCAAAGCGTGTTCACAGCTGAGAGTTATAAAGCATCCTTTTACCACTGCATGACCTTTATCAGTCTGCTGGAGCACAAAGACCTCTCGCTCTCACGCTGCCCTGCTGCAGGGAGATGAGCGCATTATTCCAGGGACGTGGCAACAGAAACCAGGCTTTTCATTTCATAATCAAACCACACAGAGAGGCTTGTTTTAAAACTGAATTTCCTGAGCGCGCCGACGACCAGGACGAGGTTTGCAGCAGAGGAAGGAATTGAATCGCGGCCGGACATCGTGGCGCCTCACCACGTTAAATGACCGCTCCTGCCACTCTGCGTCAGCCGCCGCCGCCGCCGCCTCAGGTGGAAGCATCCGGTGTGCCAGAAAGGCCGGTTGGGTCTTCCCCGCATCACACGTTCTCACTGCCCAGCAAAACGTTAAAAGTCTGCTGCGTTGTGTCCTCGCGCTTTCTAAATATAGACAACCTAAAACACGACGCGGCCGCCTGAAAACGGCATCCATGCGAGTGCGACTCCCTTCCAGATCCTGCGTTCTGCTTCTTGGAAAACATCTCGTGTTTATGTTGCGCTAATCCCCACAGTGTCTGGGAGGTGATTAGAGGCACTGATTATGTAAATATGATAATCACAGACACATTATTACTGATATGATCCTGCTAATGAAGGCCCTCTTAATCTGCAACTATAAACACATTTTTTTTGTATGCATTCAAAAAAAATTTAATTCAGCTGTTTAACCTCTGTTATGGATTTCATGCATTTCATTAGATAGCTGTTTTTTTTTTTTCCATACAGAACACTTTGCTTTGCAAATATTTTTCAGAATGAATCGCAAGCGGGTTACGTTGTTATTAGATGTACAAATATGAGCTTTACGGAAGAGCGTCAGGATCTTGAAAGAAAGGCAGCATATCATGATTTTCCTCAGCAGGGACAGGAAAGCTGCTCAACATTTATAGAAAGTCAGCAACCTTAAAGATACAGCAAGAACTGCAGCAGACTGGGCTGAATCAGGGCTGTCCACTTCATACACTGGATGCAAATGGACTCTTAAAATGATTAGGGTGAAATTTTTATTCAAAGACTAAATTTTTAAACAAATACACATTTATAAATCATGTTTTTATGTCCCTGAGCCACGTTGTGATGCTATGCAGAATAGAAAATGTTAGCTATAAAAAAAATAATTATCGGTTTATTTATTTATTAACCAAGTACGGCAAAAAACATTCAGTAACTTTTTCTCAAAAGCAAACGTTGGCGCATTTTTTCAATTAAAATAGTTTAAATGGAGCAAGTGTTTAGATGACCCATTTTCTGTTGCGGCTGCTGAGAGTAGGCGAAACATATTTTCTATCCAAACAAAATAAAAATAAAAAAAATTCACCCAAAAAAGGCAAAAATGAATCCGGAAGGGTTTGCAAATCTGAATACTTTGTTCTTTTCATTCTTGCTGAGCAGGAAAAGAATACTCACAAAAAACATTTTAAAAATTTTCATTTGCAGGAAAAAAACAAAAAACAAATTTTTGTTCTTGGTTTGTGGTTTAGATCAAAAGGATTGCTGGGTGAGTGACCTAGTCAAAGTCAGGATTTCAATCCAACTGAGAATCTATAGCAAAACTGGAGAATTGATCAGACTGAGCTTGAGGTATTTTTAGAGGAAACGGCCAAACCCTGCAGTGCAAAAGCTGGTACTCTGTAACACGCAGCTGCGATAACTACAGAGTACCGACTGCATTTTTAATCACTTAGAACATTTTTAACCCCACATATTTCCCTTCAACTTGAGTAAAACAACCCCTTATGTCCCAAACCAATGTAGCATATTAAATTTTTTGCCTAAGAAAAAAACCCAGGAACGGTTCAAGGGTTAGCGAATGTTTTTCTGTGTGCTGTAATGTGACGTTTAGCAGAGCTGACCCTGTCTCTGCTGAGAAGAGATCGTATGCGCTCCATAAGCTGAGCCACGGCGAGCGAATTCTTCAGCTTCTCCTCCAGGGCCTCCTGGAGATGCTCCCACTCCCACGCTCCTGAAAACAAACAAACAAAAAAACATATACATCTACAGTCACACCTTTTGGTTCCACAAGGGTGCGGTTTTGAGAAAAGCACAGACTTTCTGTTTGGCGCTGGGCTCTGACCACCCACATGCTTTCAACACCGAACTCTCCACTCTCTCTTGCAGTCAAAGCTTTTTATAAACTGCACCTTTTTATGTAATCTGCACCTATCAACGATATAAAATATAAGATTTTTTTTTTTTCATCAGGTTATTATTCTACAACAACAGAGATGAAAATCATTTTTGGTGACGTTCAAAAAAATCTTAACCCAGTTCTCTTCTTCTAGGGCGATAACTTGTTCGTGCTATCGTTATCTTAACTCTAACAACATTGTCCAGTCAGCAACAGGTTGGCTCATCCCTGCAGCAGCTCATCCCTTAAAATATGTAAATAATTGATGTCGACAAGGCAGGAGAAATATTTTAGATGATGGTGAAATCATTTCAGCCTCATTTCTTCAGCTGCCAACGTAGCTGAGAGTTGCCGTTAGTTACAGGGTCCAGAAACGACAAATAGAAAAAAAATAACTTTTTTTGTCCTATTCATTAATCCCATGAAAAAAAAAACATAATCAACATCTGTGGTTCCATATTTTTCCTATAAAACATAAAAATAACAAACTGGATGTTTATGATTTGTGTTGCCGTCAAGCCGTCTCCAAATATTTTACATTCTTTGATCACCGACTCCTTCAGAATACTCTGTGCAATTTTACTCAGCAGATGTTTGCTATAATTTTTTGGTATTTATACCTTAATTTAGAAAATAACCAAGGTTTAAAATCATCATCTACTGATAGACTGACCTTCGGAGAGAAATGTCAGTCCGACTCCAAACATGCTGGAGGGCTTTGAGCAAAAACTAAATAACTTATTTATTTCTTCTATCGCATCACAGTTTAAGTTTTTTCCTCGTATGATGACGTCACCGCCTGTTCGTCTGATCTCCTACGTCCCACAAGCAAATTACTCCTGCAGCTACACTTTAGACAGTAAATCAATAATTTATAGATCAAAACTGTAGCTGCAAAACACACTGAATCACAGTCATCATCTCACAAAAAATTGCCTAGATGCACTAATTTGGTAGATTACATTTCAAGTGCCGTGCAACTTAAGGTGCACACGCGTAATTTATTTTTAATGCTGAAAAATGAGATACGAAGGTTTTATTGACCAGAAGTTTTGGCTCAGTTTCAACCACTATCATATTTGAGATACACAGCAATAATGGCCACAACTTTCAAGTTTTCTTATATGGAGCTTTTCGTCTCCCTCCACCCACCCCCCGCTGTGTGACTTTCAAATAACAAGGTCTGAAGGAATTTAAACTACATGCCTCAGGAAATCGACGACCTTGTCAAAACGCTCAGTCACTTAAATCTTTGTTCCTGGTTCTGACCATGTTTTGGTAGTTGAGTTTCTTTAGGAAGACGTGCTGCTTTTAAAGTTCATCTTCTATTATTTTGTTACATAAGTTCTAATCGAACAATTTCTTGACTCTCTAGATCTGGAAGAAGCCAGAGCTGGATGTGAACTCAGCTTTCCAAAAAAAAAAAAAACTGTGATTGTTCTCAGTTCATGTAAGATTTACTAAAGTGAAGAAATTAATTTTTGAAATAGGTGCAGATTAGTTTGGACAAACTGTCATTTGAAAACTTATTTTTGTATTAACTCATGCTATTATAGTCTAAGATATATATTTTTTGATGATCTGAAACATTTAGGTGTAAATCTATAAGGGGGGAGGGGAAACACTTTTCCTCCTGTAAATATGGCTGTTTTAACCTAACTGGACCCATAAATCTAACCGTGTCCAGAAACATACACATGCCGATGCACAGAAAATGCACATCCACACAACTGCATCCAAACGACAATTTCAATAATTCAGCCGCTCACTACAAAAGGAGACAGAGTCTCAGAGAGTTAACATCACACACACAAAGTCATGGCCTCTGTGACTGTCCTCACACAGCCAAGTGGCAAAAACCTCACAGCACACAGCTCCCACTGTGGGTGTGATGCTCAAATGGGATGCTGGAAAACTGTTTTTTTTTTTTTTTTTTTTTTTTTTTTTTTTTTTTTGGGGTAAAAGAAAAAATAAATTTAAGTTAAATTGCCAAACAATTTTTTTTTTTTTTTTTTTTTTTTTTTTGGGGTAAAAGAAAAAATAAATTTAAGTTAAATTGCCAAACAATTTTTTTTTTTTTTTTTTTTTTTTTTTTGGG